TTCCGCTTGCGTGTACGATGTAACTGCGTAACAGTACCCTGGATCGTGTCGTGTAGCCATTTAGACGGTTTGTCGGTTTCGATGGTTAAGGGATTGCATACGTTTATTGAGTGATGCAAATGTCGGAGGTAGTGATGATGTTGAACGTGAGGCTAACGCTGATGACATAAGCTAATCTGCCATGTGGTCTGCGCTGGCTTGCTCAGGCTTGCTGTGTAGTGATGCTTCGCGGGTAGCGCAGTGGCAACAGTATGATAAGAATCAATGAAAGCAATCACGACAACCATAACCACGATCATCGTTGCGAAATTGAAGCCTGGGATGTCTGCTTGGATGGTGCCATTTCCTGCTGTCCCTTCCTTGGTCATTGGTGGCGCCGTTGCCGAGTCAGGGTGCTGTCCCTATCTTGAGACAGCATGGGCAGAGGAGAGAGCCTTCGCTCCTTTGCGCGCAGAAGCCACCCCAGTCGGGTGCTTCAGGATGTCTAGCACTAAGTGCCCATTACCCAGCCTCGGTAGAAGAAAATCCTGCGCCAGGCCTTCGACCACGCATCTGCCAGTCTAAAAATCCATACAAGATCCAAGCGACTGTAGGTGGTCCATCCCAAGTAGTGCCGGGCCAGGCTTGTTGAGACCCGTGAAGGTCAGCATCCCAGAGACGTCCGAAATGAAAGTTGGGATCGTGATGCGTCCCATGCTCGTGTCCTTGGCACCGCTCGCGAACGTGAGTTCTGCCTGGTAAATCGGGTCGACTGAGACGAGGTCCTCGCCGCACTGGGAGACGAGCTCCTCCCGCACGGCGTTCAGCCAGGGAAGCCCGGCCATGCTCTGAGACGCCCCGCTGTCCACGATCAGCCGGCCGTGGCACTCCTGGGCGTTGAAGAAGCTGAAGGCTGCGAAGACATGGAGGTCCTTCTCCAGAGGACTCGTCTCCATCACGAAACCAAGGAAGCCAGAAAAGCTGGATCTGCCAGATCCCTTCAGGTCGGGGCAGTCCTTGACAAGGTGGTCCGTCTTGCCGCACTTGAGGCATTTCTTGACAAACGGGACCTGACCTGACGGTCCGGCCGGTCGCTGATATCCGCTGTCACGATCAGGTAGCTTGGGCTGGCAACCTCCTTGGTAGCTGCCGCCCATTGCACCGCCTCGTCCAAAGGGTCGCAGTGGGCCGCGATCTCGCTGGAATCAACCGGCTGTCCACGCAGATCGTCGCCTTGACGAGATGGTGGCTGGGCTCCTCGGTCGTGTCGCTGCGGTCCGGTTGGATAGTACCGTCGGTTCACCTTGCTCTGCATCAGTTTGTTGCGAGCCTCCTTGAACGTCCTCTGAGCTTGCCTCATCATCCTGACAGCTTCCTGCTGCGGGTCGGCCTCGTAGGACTCCTGGTTGGTGTCGTCCGGGCTCGCCTCGTCCTCGTACTCGTAGACGCCGTCGGCGGCGTTCTCCTGGTAGTCGAGGTCGTGCTGCGACATGTCGTCGTCCTCGACGCCAAGGCCGCCCAGGCCGTCCACCGCATGAGTCTCTGATCGGATACCGTCTCGCCGTGGTAGTTCATCCTCCGGCCAGTTCCCGATCAGAGCCTCCAGGATCTTGCCGCGTGTGTACCTGTGGCCGTTCGCCGAGAGAACTCCAGCTCGCTCAGTCGGGTCCAGCCCGCTGTTGTAGAGAATCAGCACTCCTCGCAGCTCGGTCTCGAGGCACTCCTGTTCGATCTCTTCTTCTGTGTTGCGAACTCGCTTGAACGCCCGCTGCAGCTTGTGGTAGAGCTCGTGCTCGCGATTGCCGACAGCCACCATGCTCTCGCCCTTGTTGCGCGTGAGCTGGTAGATGTACTGCAGAAGCATCTTCATCAGATCAATCGGCGCCTGTTTTCCGAGCTTCTCATTGAGATAGTCCACCAGCAGCTGTGCACCATCTTCTTTGCTGAGGTCGCCGCGTTGAAAGGAAAGCCAATGCCTGTCGCTTCTGGGCGGTGCCGTCCGCCATCACGCCGATGAGGCGTGCTCCGCACAGCTGTCTCTCGTCCTTCGTCGTGCCTGAGACGTAGATTCTCACATTCTCTGCGTAGTCGTCGATTGACTCCAGCCTCCCGTTCCAACGCATCATGATACCGCGATCGTCTTGTTGGGTCATTCCAAGGCCGTACTCGAACCACGTTCTTTGGAACAAGCTCCGCTGTATTAGTATAGTAGTATCGGGGATACTGTCGGGTTTATTGTGACGAGCAATCTCAAGGTATGAATCAACATGAAATTGGCGCCTCCCGCGCCCAGGAAATGAAGAGGGGCGCCTCCCGCGCCTAGTCCTGCATAGGAAAGGGCTGACAAACCGTCGGCTCAAGAGCCTGCTTTGGAAACAGCCACAATGCTAGCAGAACCTTCACAGATGCACATGCCCGTGCTCACTGCTGTCCTCTCTCTTTCCGCTGGTGCTGAGATGCCCTCCTGGTCTCCGTACAAAAACACCCTCCGGGACCACCCCCCGGGACCACCCCCCGGGACCAGCCCCCAGGACCCCCCCCCCGCTGGCGGGGGAGGGATCAAAGAAATTTCTTTTCGACTCAATTACGACGCTGCTCAATTCAGTTTTGGCTGGCACGCTTGAGGAGGAGGGCCCAGGAAAAGGGGAGGGCGACGACGGGCCCAGGGAAAGAGAGGGAGCGGCGACGGCGACGACGACGTCGACGTCGACGAAGACGAGTCGAATGGAACAGCCTCTTCCACACGCCGACAGGGTCGGCGGATCTTCTGCCCGCTTGAGACAACACCTTATCAATGGAATCCTTTGGGTGGAGTCACATCATCATCAGCATCAGCATCAGCATCAGCATCCTCATCATCAGCAGCATCATCACCAGCAGCATTATCATCTTCATCGTCATAATTTTCAGCATCATCAATATCAACACCAACAGCAACATCAGCATAAGCATCACCACCATCACTATTATCATCACCATCTCCGTCATCATCACTATCACCAGTATCACCACCTCCGCCTGCACCACCACCACGATCACCACTCACCATACTCTCCTCCCCCTTCGCGGGTGTGAGGAAGGTAGGGTTTCTAGGTGGCCCACGCACACACCCTCTACTTCTCCACCTGCTCCTCCCACATTCTCACCCTCCTACTCCCCGGCGCTCCTGCGACATCCGACGCCGCGATGTTTGTCACAACGTGTCTCCTGGGAGACCTGGCAAGAGGTAGTCAACCGGCTGGAGCGGGAATGCGGGGCTTTCTTCGTCGAAGAATGGAATGCAATTTGCGACAAGCGGGATGGCAAAGGCAACGGGAGAGGTACCTACAACCCCGTGGGTCAGGACGAATTCTGCAGGGCATTCTTTTGTGACCTTCACTTCTTCCGCAACGACATCCGTCAGTTCTGCTGGTTCCGGGAAGTCGATATGGACTGGAGGGAGTTTGGCAGCGCCAGCACAAGCGTGACGAGGACTGACGTTATGAAGGGCTGGGCACAGAAGAAGGCAGTGGCCTGCAAGGGAAAGGCAAGCGACAGGCCCATCCCACTTGGTTCGACAACGACCAGACAAGGCCGCGCCGGCCAGACCTACCCGGCTTCTGAGGCGCCTACCCGGGCACCGCTCTAGCACAACATGCTCTATGGCGAAGCCTTGCGACGACCCACACCCTAGCACAGCGCGGCCTTGGTGCCGTGCTTGAGTGCGGGCCACCTTCCCTGGCTGCGCGCCGCCCACCCCGGACGATGCGCAGTCTTGTTTCCACATGAAGTTGCACCGATTAGGTGTGCCTCGTGCTGCCGCGCGCTGTCCTCCCCAGACGGTGCGTGGCCCGTTTCCACAAGAAGTTGCACCGACAAGGTGCCCCCAGTCCTGTCGCACGCTGTCCTTCCCGGGCGGCGCGTGGCCCCTTCCTCCCTGTACTGCCACGCGTTGTCCGCCCCAGACGGGGCGCGTCCCGATTCCCGCAAAAAGTTGCACCGACCAGCAGCCCCCAGCCTCGCCGCGCGCGCTCCTCCCCGAACGGTGCGTGGCCTCTATGGGCTGCTCGGCCCCAGTTTCGCCTCCCCGCTGTGCGGACCCCCTCGTACGTCCTTTACTTGAACGCCTGCACTGTCTACGACTTGCTCTACCGCGTACTGAGCGTCGGCAGCGCCCGCGGATGCACCGAAGCCGCGGCCCGGTTGCTGCCACGACCCCCGCTACCGTTGCTGGCCGCGCCGGCGCGCTCTTCGTTTAATTCTTCCACGGCTGAGTGCCCTCCGCCTCCTTTCGTCCTCGGCGGCCGCCCTGTCTGTCTCGCGTCCGCTCTCTTGCATGCCGGCCGATTTGCCATTCGGTTGCCCCGAGTCGTCACACGTTGGAGCGGACCGCCTCCGCCTCGCCGCCGACGTAAAAATCCCCCCATATACCCCTTGCTGGGCACAGGTTTTCCATGCTGAGTCGTTTTGTTCACGGTTCCGGGGCCCAGCAAGGGCTCTTGGATCCCGAAAGCGGCCCATACATTGTTTGTTGTTTTCTGTTCGCAGCGCGACGATGTCATGGCCTTCCTCCCTTACGGCTGGCGTTGAACAGATTTCGCGCGATGCGCCACCCTAGAGCTTATTATACGCTATCTACCATCTTTGGGGATAGCGCGCACCGAAAGAACCCCAGCAGGGGGATGGCGTGTACAGAAGGGTCCTTCGCGTGGGGAGCGCTTCTCAGGGGTAGCGCGCCTGTCGGAGACCGATGTTGCACATTATCTTTCGGCGGCAAGCCCAGGGGGTAATTGAGAGGGGGCGGGCCTTCACAGAAAGCTCGGATGTCCTCTGGTTCTGGGGAAGTGGATAAACTTCCCCCGAAGACGCAGAAAACGTTTCAGAAGGCCGGAGGGTTTCTGAGAGGCCCCGCCACCTTATGAGAAGGCCTCCTCCTTCTCACTTCCCCCCGCGCTCGCCGCCGAATCTTTCCAGTGCCAAACGTATCGTCCTCCGTCTCGTCGTGATCGTCAGCCCTTGCCCTCTCGCGGGGATTCCCCGAGGTGCGCCATGCCGTGGGCGGCCGGCGCCGCGAGAGACGCGCGCAAGAAGCGCAAGAACGGTCGCGGGCAGAGAAAGGCCTGCGCGTAGTGGATCGGCGGCCCCGCATCTTTGGCCTGCTCTTTTTCATCGGGGGCAACGAATGGGGGGGATAAGGCCCAAGGGGGGATAGGCTCAGGCGGGACAGGTTTGTGAAGTTTTCGGACGTTTTAGTAGCAGTTTCGCCCAGTGATCGCGGGTCGGGAGCCTATCTGCGATCTTTCGGCGATGCATCGCCGATTCCAGGTCGATGTTTCCCCCCATGAGCTGGTCCCCCTATCGTTGCTCCTCACTCCCTTCTCCCCCGCTCTTGGAAGAAAATTGTTATTTAATCCTCTGGTGCGTAACAGTCGATACCCCGACCAAACTCCCACCCCGGGTAACAGTAGCAATCGTACGTAGGAGGGTCGGCGAGGACCCCCCCCCGCGTGCTGGTGGTCGTGCGCATATTGCGGCGATCGCAGCGCACCCCCCCCCGACCTGCCCCACCCCGCCCAAGCGTTGGCGCTACCCGAGGCCCCGAACCCCCCGCCCTTCGGGTAACGACCGCTACCAGAAACTAATCGACGCGGACATCACCATTTGTGCATGTCATACTGTTGTGACGTGACGTTTGAGCGTCTGAGCGGCTCCGCGTGGACAACGGGTACGACAACAACGACGACGACAGCGACTATTTCAGTGACGTATCCTCCTGTAGGCATCCATCAGGAGAGGTGCGGAAAGCACACATTGAAGAACGAGGAAGCAGTGGACCACCAAAGGAGAGAAGATTGTGAGCGAATCTAATCGTGAGAGATATGGGTGTGTGCGTGAGTGCAGTTGAAGGGAGTTCGCGCGTGATTGAGTCCAGGTGTGAGAAAGTCTACCTACGAGTGGGTCTGAATATGAGCACGCTGGAGTGCGAGTGAGTCTGAGTGCGAGAGAGTATAAGTGTTGGGACGTCTCAGTATGAGTCGGTCTGAGTTGGGTCAACGCTTTCTTGCAAGGACGCTGATAGAAACACCCGTAGTTCTAAGGCCAAGGGGCTTCAATAGTAATTGAGCCCATATGGCGGTATCCATACGCACGCACGTGGACAGTTGATCCACACATAGCAGCAAGCGAGCTTGAGCATGAGATGACCAACGAGCGCGCCATATTCACACTCCTCCTGCACGGGCGCTCCAAGCGTCTGGCGCTGAAGGCGCCGAGAGCGGCCAGGCGGATCGGCGTGGCGCTAGCTGCATTAGACAGGAGCCAGAGCACTGGCACCTCAGCGGGCAAACGGTTCTCTGGGCATGCATGCAAGCAGCCCTCGGGGCACTTCGGTGGGTGAACTACACACCTGCCTTCGGATCGGGTGGCCCCTTTGGCCTGGCATCTCCTGCTTGAAGACGGCTCGAGGCGATTTCCTGGATTTAAAGGAAGTGGGGCCCCGCACGATTCAGGAGATCGCTCGGCAAGGAGTCGAGAGTTGGCTGCTGTGATCTGCTCGTGCTGATTGCCCCCACCTGTCCTCGCTCTCGCATCCTTTCTTCCTCGCCCCCATTCGCCACCTCTGCTCGGTCCAGCTCTCGGCAGTAGGGGATTGGTCGGCGTCGCATCAGGCCACCGTGAGATGCTTAGCGGCTTACGAGCATTGGGAAAGTGTTCTGAAGTTTCGTGCTGGTTTCGTCGGGGGCCCCTGGCGTGAGCTCTGCTTCCTCGAGCCTGGGACGGCGGCACACTGGCGTTGAGGGGATTGTCCGCGCAGGTGGGGCTTCATTACTTGCTGCCGGCCTCGTTAAAGGACGGTGCTCGTGCGAAGAGTGACTGAGCCCTGTGGTGCTATGGCATCCTGCCTGACCCTGTCGCCTGGCGCCTGGCCCCCACCCTGGAATCGCAGGCGCATTGGGAGGTCAGGCCCCCGGCTGGCCTTCGGCGACGGGTCCTGCGGGTCCATCCTCGCTTGGGAGCCACGCCACCGTGGTCCAAACTTCGGGTAGCGGCTTCGACGTCGCGGCTGCCCTGTGCGGGCTCCTCCTTGGTCTCCTCCAGGATTCCAAGGTGGCTGAGCTTTTTGGGCTCTTCATGTACGTGTTCCATGTATCCCTCGGCCCTTGCAAGTATTACTGCGACTGCGATTGGGTGGTCACCAGCTAGAACAAGGGACGCGAGGCCACAGTAGGTAGCATGCGCATGCGCGCCGACATCGGGAAGCGGGTCTGGGAGCGGGTGGACGACCGTGTGGGGGGGCGTGGAAATTGCGAAGGCGAAAGATCACGCGCGGGCGCGCGACGATGAGCGATCGGACGACGCAAGGTATCGCAGGCAGAAAAGTCTGCCATGTTCGGCGCGTCTCGGGACCCCCAGGGTCGGGTAGCCAACGACCGGGCCCTGCGGCCCGCCAGCCTGCCCACAGATGCGTGTAAATACCTGGCGCGCACGCTTCGCGCTGCAGGCCCTCCTGCCAGCTCGCTGTCGGCCCGAGACACAGAGGCCCTCGGCCGCCGACGGCCGCCCCCGAGGCTCATGGCCGATGAGGAGGGAGCACGACGCGGTGCTCATCTCGGGCAAGCTGCGCCGCGCAAGGTGCCTCCACGTGGCCAAGACGGCCAGGGCGCCGCGGCAGGCCCCGCGTCGGCCTGCGACAGGCCACCGCCAGCGGCGCGCTGGGCCCTTCACCATTTGCGGCCCCCGCGGAGCCCACTCGCGTGATAATGTGCAGCTGCTGGCGGCCGATTGCCGCGGACTGCGCCCGCGGGGCTCGACGGCGCGACGACGCCTCGACCGCCTGCGAGGCGGAAACCACCCACGCACAGGGGCGAAGCTTCCTCTCGGCTCGGGGTCCGCCGATCCGACTCCGCGCGGGGGCCCTTCACCTCGGGCATCAAACTTGGGGAACTGGAGGTTCTCCCCGATCGGCGAGAGGGTCGCGCGCCGAGTCGCCCACTTTGGGCGTAGAGGCCCGCCCGCGCGGAGCACGTCGCTCGGCGGCGGCGCCCGCGGGCATTGTTTTCGCTCCGCGAGGTCCGTCGCCGCGCCCATGCGCCGTCGTAGCCGCGCCCCAGTAAAAGCCCCCCCCCCCCCCCCGCCGCCGCCCTCCGCCCCCCCCCCCCCCCCCCCGCCAAAGAGGAGGGAGAGAGAGAGAGAGAGAGAGAGAGAGAGAGAGAGAGAGAGAGAGAGAGAGAGAGAGAGAGAGAGAGAGAGAGAGAGAGAGAGAGAGAGAGAGAGAGAGAGAGAGAGAGAGAGAGAGAGAGAGAGAGAGAGAGAGAGAGAGAGAGAGAGAGAGAGAGAGAGAGAGAGAGAGAGAGAGCGAGAGCGAGAGCGAGAGCGAGAGC